ACGTTGATTTTGACGTCCTATCATATGTTAGCTTCAAATCATATAAGTACGATATGAGGAACACAGAAGCCATACTTGCCAAGGGTCGCTTTAGAACCAATGTTTTTAAATTCTAATTTTTTAATCGCATTGTGGATTTATGGAATGACCTGCCTGTAGCTATGAGGACAATTGATCGAGTATCATTGTTTAGTAAAAAGGTGAATCAGTTTTATATCAGTAAATTTAACTTAAGTAAGGATAAATTTTTATAATTTTTGATTATGTATTGTTGTTGCTATTTGTCTAAGTTAGTTTTTAATTTTTTTTTTTGTATTTTATAACAGGCAGTTTATTTGAAATAAGGAATCTAGAATTCTCTATAAACTGGCTTAATTACTCAGATATCTCTTTTTTATACTTGTATATATATTTAACTCCTTGTTTTTGTTTTTGCTTTGATTATCTGTGTAATTGAATTTGAGTAAATAAATAAATAAACATGATGATAACTACAGTATGATGATAAATACAACAAGCCATCACAAGTGTTCAGAGGTGAAAATGATATCTACAGCATATTGTATGATGAGGATATGTCTAATGAGCAGCAATATGAACACGCACAGAAAGTATGGTAAACATTTTAACCTCAAATCGGTGGGTGAATATCATAATCTGTACCACGGATCTGATGTTCTCCTTCTTGCAGACACATTTGAAAACTTAAGAAACACTTGTTTGCAATACTGCAAGATTGATCCTTGTCTTTATTTCACATCTCAATGCTGAGGCTGACTGACATCAAATTATATAATTTATGCCAAAATTGACAGTATTGTGCCAAAAAATGGGAGCGAAGCTTAACATTTTCATAATTTGTGCAGCTTTGTGAAAAAATAAATAGCCTTAGTGAATTTTAATTAATTATTTTGTGGAAAATTTAAAAATAGTTTTATGTAAATCATGGTTCTTTTCCCAAATTGAAAACTTATGTCAGTAAGTGCATAATTTTTAAGGTTCGTTTAATGTTGGTTCTTATTTGATATTGCCACTCTAGGCATATAACCCCTGATTTTTCCTGGTTAATTATTTACTAGCTTCGACGATATACATGTAACTGAACAATAACTGTTGTGGTAGTTCTGTCTACGCAGTTTTCACTAAAATGTTTTGAAATCTGGATATTTCAGACAATGGTGACTTTTTTGGATGTAAAAGGGACCAAAATGATTGTTGTGTTTATTGTAAAGGATTTTGTACATTTTTTTAAAGTTTATGCAGACTGTAGCTAACTTAAATTCCATCGCTTGAGTTGAATAATATCGCTTCAAGTCGCCTTAAATCGCCTTAAATCACCCAATGGCGCAATGTTTTTTTCTGTCAGTTTTTCTTAAGTCGCCATAAGCCGCTTTTATTGGCCCAAAGTCGCCTTAAGTTACGGCGACGTAAGATCCAAGAGCAGACCTTCGGAAACTACCAAACGAAAAATTTCTCAATTGTGAAGCAAAAATGTGAAGTTTGTAATTTGACACAAAGATCGAATGACCCATTTCTTTGGGAAAGTCCTTCATCGAGTTTTTGTTTCTGACGCCATCGCGAGGGCATAATGTCAATATTCTTTCTCTTTTCCCGGAAACCGACCGTCTTTCAATTTTTCGGAATCCTCTCTTTTTGGGACATGTTATTTTCTATGAACTGGCAAACAATATGGTTGACCTTCCAAAAACGAGAATTAATATGTCTTAGGGCGGCCGGAATCAAATGTTTTCGAAAAATGCGCCAAAACCGGTATCTGCTATACTACTGTTGCTGGGGCACAATGCCGTGAAATATTTTCTTCGCTCCTTTTATCATTTAGAGAGAACTGTGAGAGAATCGCGATGCTTTCCATAAACTGCATGGTTTCCATTGGCTTAATATTTTCCCTCGTGATGTCGCTCCTGGTGCTCACTGAGCAGAAATTTCGAGTCCATCGCTTCTAAACGAAAGAACTGAAGGTGTAGCTATCATGTCCGACGAGAATACATCAAATCATCTATTAACAAATAAAGTAGGATCGACCTCTCGCTCATAACTGTCGCTGTAATTATCACTTCTTAAGTCAGTGAAGGCGCCAACCTTCTCAGTCCCACTAACTTAATTTGGTATGATTTTCGCTCCTAAAAAAAACTGATATTGAACGAAACTTTATTCAGTCATGCAGAGATGTCAGTGATGTCCATGCTAGTCATTCATCTGATGAGGATCTTTTGTATAATTCGTCTAAAGAAACGCACTTTAACCATTGCAGAAATGTTTGCCTGTCAGTTAAAATATGGTGTCATTCTTCTATTCGACATAGAAAAGTTTACTGCGGTTGTTTTACTTTGCCTTTTACAAACACGAACACCTTTACGGCGGACAAGATCATCTTTGACCTGCTTCGCATCAGCTTGCATTTCTTCTGTAGATTAAGAATGACGATAATTCCAAAACCAAATTTTGAATGAAGGAAAACCCTTAATACCTTCACTCCTCGGTGCCTCTGGGTGAAGGTAAGTGCATAAGATTCTAAGCTTCATCTTACCATACATACTGCTGTGTATTTTCATGGCATAAGTGTACCAATATGATGTGTACAGTATTGTCACAACAGCATTAAAAGTACACACTTATCAGAATCTCATTGAAGGAAACAACTTACTTTCTCAAAATTTTATGAGGAAATACTTTTACGACATTGCACGTCCATGGTAATGTAAAGTGTAAGTTTTTTTTTCCTTACGGGGTCAATTTCAAAATATCGATTAAAGTGTTTTTTACGCTATGAAAATTCACTTCAAAGGTGTAAATTATGTAAAGTTCACTGTAGGTCGCCTCCAGTATCATAATACGTTGAGCAGCTATCGATGAGTCACGATCTACCCTAGACATAGACATTGTTTAGATATCTATAGATTTAGTTAAATGTCACTAGTGTAATTTTTTATTTAAAGAAAGCATCCGTATAGAACTTTTACTATACAACCACCGGATACAAAAAAGCCGAGAACTTGGTGGGAAAATACTCCTAGACTCAATCAGTGCTGTAATGGCGCGCATATGTTCATGGCAACATGAAATTAGACATTCTCTGTCACTGCCACTTACAGTTTAGCTCCTACGAATGCAAATACGATTAATTACTCCAATGCAACAATGTTAACAGTGTAGTCCAGCATGCTCAGCAAGCAGGATATTGTGGCTTACTAATGTTAGTGATCCAAGAAATTATCTAGTGTACGTTTGTTTCGCTGTTTGTAAACAATTCTTAAACCTCTAGTGTACAGTTTTACACAGTTAGAAACCAAATTACGTAAACATGACAATGACAGACTTTCCACTTTTACAAGCCTTTAATCATTCACGGCAAGATTATAGAAAAGAGTTCTAAGAACTGAGGAGACAGAAGACAACTATCAAAGCTATTGAGAAGGATCTCTTCAGTTTTAATTGTGTGAAAGATCTTGTTAGATTTAGGTTAAGTCACTATTATTGGGCTCCTACCTTTCAGTTCTTTTTTCTTCTCACGCCTCTATATCAGTTGCGTATATCTATGTCAATCAATTCAGAATGGCAGAGTCAACAGTGGCCTTGCCTTCAGTGCAAACGAATAAAAATCCATTATTTCTGCGATAATAGTCGATATTTCCTTTCAGCAGCAGACATAAGTATTGACCAATCGCATTCCAGGGGATTGATATAGGTGGCGGCGTCTTTCTTCCTTAAACAACAGCTCCAACGTATATCATACAGTAAACTGTGCTTATGAAGAACTTTGTCTTCAGATATGAGCTTCGCTGACTTTGCTTTGATCGGCTTCGTTGTGCTCGTGGCCCTTAGTACTATAATTTGCCAGGCGCCTAATGACTGCAGTGACAGTTCATGTTGCTCAGCCTCGACATACATCGAAATTAATGAGCCTCGCCGCAGCATTAATAGTATTTGGAAGGCGGGACAAGTCGCTATATGTGATAGGGTATTGGGATGGAGTTGGTATCGTTTCACAAGCTTTGTTGGTGGAAAAATGCCGGAAAAAAAAATGTTACCTAACCAGTGTGGTACGCACGCTCCCATCTGGTTGAACGGTACTCATCCGAAGAAGATAGGCGAGAATGTTGTTCGCAGAGCATGCATCAATGTTCTAAACATTAATCCAGACGGTTGCTTCGACTCGTTCAACATAAACATTACCAAGTGCCCAGGTGACTATTTCGTGTACTATCTAAGGCCTCCCTGGTATTGTTCAGCAGGTTATTGTGCTGGTAAGTAATT